TATCTGAAGTGTACAAAGCTGGTTGTAAATGAGTCCAAACCAAAGTCCTATGATGAGAATACCACAGTTCTTATTCCTCGAACTCTCTACTCCCTGGCAACCTCTCTGTTCCCTGTTCTCTGTGCTTCAAAATGACTGCTGCCCTCAAATTGCACAGTCACTGTCCTTTCTCTTTGTTTGCTTCCACCTCTCTCTCTTCTATTGCAAAAGGAATCTGTTCTTTCCTTCTTTCTCAATCCGTTCACTACCCATACAAAACTCTCAATTTATATCACCGCAGATCCCGTCTCAGAAATCAGTAGAGATTCTCCACTCAGTAACCACAATCACTTTCATTCTCTACAGATTCTGTAATTAGTGTCTCAGAGTTCCACTTTGTTTAACACTGTCCGCTGATACTTCTGCCGCTTCTCACTTTTTGCTTCCTCCACCATTGATCAGGCTGTCACATCTCTGGACCAGGCCATGACCAAGCCATGACAGCTGGTCTCTTCAGTGTCAGATTTCAGGGATTCCACCCTTTGCAATGGGAGATTGCTCTTCATCCTGTCACCACTGGATTCTCCCCTCTCTATTGCTGTCCTCTCCAAGGCCCAGATTTGCTGCTGACAGCCTCCAGACATGAAAAATCAGACTCATTCCCCTGTAACTGCTCCAACGTGACATCACCCTGGAAGTTACTACTCTACTTCCATGTCTCAAAAGTAAGGTGGAAACATTCTTCCTTTCTTACACCATAATGAAATAACAAGTTTCTTCTACCTATACTCTTCTTCATGGTTCGTTTGTTCTAGGTTCCTCCTGCTCCCTACTATATATACAGAAAAATGAAGTGAAGAAGTCGAGGCTCTTCCAAATGGCCAAATTAAAGTACTATCTACAAATTCTTGAACTGGCAAAAATATATAATGCCATAAAATGTGCCTGCCTATTTTGTCTTTGTCATGTTCTCTTCCTTTACTGAGAGTGAATAAATGATGGATGGATTTCCACAGCCTCTTCTCCCTTCCCACCAAGTATCACCTGCTAATGGAAAAAAACCAAGTACCCACCTTACTTAGTGGGAGGGCAGGATTGAGTAAATGGAGACTGGGGCTTTGAATGCTGAGTTTAGGTGCCTGTCCAGCTTCCTGAATACTAAATGGAAAATGCTAGGAGGGTGTATTTGCCGTTCCATAAAATGGAATGGAAGTCTCTTAATGCTTCTCACCAACCATCTTCCATACCTGTTATCTGTCATGGCTATTTATGAACACAAGACTAGTGCATTTCTGAAAGAAGAGAATGTGAGAGTCTTGTGTAATTATGTCACTCCATGTTGCCCCATAGGTTTACTATTACTTACTCTCTTCCTGGTCAATTGGAACTTGTTGCTGTCCACTGGAGACAATATTTCCTTTTGATACAACCTGCAGGGAAAAAGTGGCCCAAGTTCATGGATCACAATTCTATACATTTCTTATAAATAGCACAGTTTTTTTTTAGCACATATTAAGTCATAAAGAAAATATTAATTACAACTTGCTGTGTCTTAAACAAGTTTTTAATGTGAACCATATGTCTGACAATATGTCAGACTTCTCTAGCAGCCTTGCTACTTTGTTAAAATGATGCTGCAAGCTCTACCTTTTGTACAGAAACAATATAATTCTGTGTTCATTATTCTGCCCCTTCCTTGTCCTTCCCCTGTAGATACTGCTGACAGGCTTGTTACCAGAAGAACAGAATTCTGTATTATTGTAGTTCTACAGCTTAAGAGGGATGTAAACCTTAGGGGAATTTGGACTGGAAGATTATAAATAAAGCAATAGTTCTTCTCGTAAACCTGTGGTCAACTGGAGTCAAAAGGATTCTTTGCCTTTAGTTGACAATTTATACTTTTTACTATCACACCCTGTTGCCCTTTCCATAAATGTTTATGCTCACCAAGTAATAGAAATCTATGTAGTCAGCCGTGGGCCTCAGCTCTTTCCGGTCAAGGATGTAATCCACCAATATTTCCTGATCTTTTCCACAGGGCAGCTCTTCCTCCATATGTTGAATCTCAAGGAAACTATTACTCTCTGAGTAGAAAGGCTTCAGCCAAACAAAAGCATCATTATATAATGGGTTGACATCTCCATAAGTTGCATTTGAGATGGAATACCTACCCTGTAAAAAAAGGCATAGAATAAGTCAGCAACAGCTGAAGAGTTAAAATTAATCTATAGCTTTGGATAGTACCTAGCATAAACAGGTATCCTGGATCCAAACTAGAGATTTTCTATATGTAAAGTGAGAATTTCTTTATTTCTCCCACCACGTATAGCTCTTCTTCCTCCCCTGGTTCTCCTGGAATCTAAGAATGGTTCCAAAGGCTGTAGTTTTATGTGTGCTTTTGTTTGTTTGTGTGTGTGTGTGTGTGTGTGTGTGTGTTTGTGTTTGTGTTTGTGTAAAAAGGGAGGAAAGAAAGAAAGACCTAGGGAGAGAACTACTGCTTACCCGTAGAGCAACTGAAGTGTTCTTCCATGTTGTTGTGTCCAAGGTGAAATGAACTTCCCCATTCTCATCAGTGATGTATGAAATATGAGTTTCCACATCATCAATATCAAGAGTAAGGTACACAGTCTGGTTCTTTAAAGGTATATCGTTGACAGTACATTTCATCTACAGGAATACAATGGCCCATTATTGTTGTAATGCTAGTTAATACACGGAGCATTGTTCTATGATGTTTACAGGTTGCAAACATAATACTAGATTGTTAAAAATGTCAAATTCAGGTTATAAATCAGATTTAAAACTGTTTTTAATAATTTACAATAAATTTCTAGCTAAAATAATATTTTTTCTACTTAAAGTCCATACTATTAAACCAACCTGCATCCTAGGTAGGTGCCAAAAGCACCAATCCCTTTCATTTGGAAAAAAAGTAGTTTAATAAATTCTGCTTAAAGTGGCTAAAATTATTAAAAATAATAAATATAAACAAATACTTATAAAACTGAAAATTGTTGTGTCCCAATCCTGAATATACCTAAAGGTTAACCCTGAAACATTACTGGAAACACCTTTTCTTCCCCAGCCTAGCAATTGAAATTGCAGCCTGTAAGTGAAGAAAGTGCTGAACTTACTGTTTTTCTGTTGCACATGGAACAAGTTTATAAGGAGCGTCACCCAAAGAAAACTGCATTGACTAACCTTTCCGGTATATGGAATTCCATGTTTAAATAATGTGTCATAGTTTAAGAATTGTATTTGAGCTACTCTGTTGACCACTGAGATAAGGCTGTTTCCTGAGATGCTCACTCCTGCAGAGACAGAATACATAAAAGAAAAGAAAAACCAAGCAGATTTCTAAGTGCACCTTCAATATTTAATTTCCCATTGATCTTGTGTCACTGATTATTTATTTCTCTAGTTTTAGTCAGAGTCTTTCTCATGGCTGAATTTACATGTTCACTCTCCCTTAAATTGGAGGAACGTTTCTGCCTCTCTTTCTTTCTCCATTGGGAGACCACCCACCTAGATATTTAAAAAAAATGCATTATCAACCACAAGCCAACTAGGCCTAATAATAACAATAATTGGATTAAATCAATCAACCCTGGTCCTTGACTTGATTCCTCTTTGGGTTAGTCATCTAGGCAAGGCATGCCAAATACACTGATTGGAGGATTGCTTCAGTTTCTGATATCTTCATGATTAGTTGGTGGAAAATGAGGCACCAATTATAGTGGTATTGTAGGGAGTGGCAGCTTAGTTACCTCACCTCTTTTTTTTCTGGGCATTTGCTGTACAGTGTTAGCTGCTGTGTGAAAGTTGGCTTGGGCGGAATAGAAAATCAAAGACATGCCTTTCCTTCAAATTGCCACATGTTGCTCATATTAACCCTGTTTGTAATGCTGCCTTAGATAAATGGGAAAAAGACGCCCCCTTTTCTTGGGTCAGTTGAAAACAGGTCTGCAGAGTCACATACAACTGCAACGTAATTTCATCACCACTTTTGCAGAGACGATGAAGCTCTGTGCATGCTGCATGCCTTCTAATCAGTTGCAGACAGTGGAAGAGGCTGGCTAGGGCTCCTGAGACAGGTATTATGTGGCTTTTGCCCCATTTTATGACATTTCTTGCCACAGTTTTAACTGAATCACTGAAGTTGTTAAGTTAGTAACACGGTTGTTAAGTGAATCTGACTTCCCCATTGACTTTGCTGGTCAGGTTACAAAAGGGGATCATATGACCGTGGGATACTGCAACCGTCATGAATATGAACTAGTTGCCAAACATCTGTATTTTGATCATGTGACCATGGGCATACTGCAATGGTCATAAGTTTAAATTTGGAAGATGTGCGAAGCAGCCCAGTCACATACATGTTTAGGGTCCTCCTCCAGTCCTGAGTCTATAGCTCCAATTGTCCCACCAGTTCCACATTTCTAAAAGAACAGCCTGACTGATGGGTTGCAGAGGTGAAAGAAAAGTTGTGGATGCAACCTCCAGTTTGGTGCAACCACTACTCTATGTCTAGGGCTGTTGTAATTGGGCTGTTTTTAACTAGAGTCCAGCACCCCATTTAGAAGAGTGTTGCAAAGAAATGAAGATAGGACCAATGAGTGATCTTAGCCAGTAGATTGTGGAAATACTCCATAGAGCAGGCAAAATTGTAAATCTCCTTCAGAGTAACAAAACCAGTTAAAAAGTATGAGGATTTTTTATCCCAAATTAATCTGGTTCAACCTTACATCCATTTACTTTTCTTGTTTGTTGATCTCATACATTCTAAATGACTATCAGCCTGAGACTCCAATCAAGAAAAGCAGAAGAGCTTTGAGCTACAAAGTACAAACCAATCTTTATGGCATCATAACATTTGCCATAAGGCCTCCTTTGTTCCTCTCCTGGGAACACAGGATTTAGCAATGAAAAGTCTGTTCCCCCAATCAACTTATTTTGCCAGATTGCAACATAAACTAAGCAGCAATGGCTTAGGCATGCTACTTGTTGAACAGAAGAAGGCATCCTGCCCAAAAGACAGGGATCCAGTCACTGTGTGATTAGAGCAGTTAGGGTGGATGACAATTCCTTTTAGAACTATTGGCTCAGGGACCTGCTTTTCTTGCAAAATGAGAAGAAAGATTATACATTTGCTTTATACTTCTGCTCCCAGAGGTGTTTTCTTGTTTAAACGAAAGAGATTCTAGTTTGTTGGTGGAGAAAAGCAAGAAAGAGAAGCACCTTTTTAAGCATGTCTAGTAAAGAATGCGGCCACGTGAGTGATTGTGGGTGCACCTCGGTTCGCCCACATAACAACTATCCTCCGCGAGCTGCGCTGGCTACCTGTTGATCTCCGGATGCGCTTCAAGGTGCTACTTACCACCCGTAAAGCCCTTCATGGTAGTGGATCTGCGTACTTGAGAGACCGCCTCCTGCCAATTACCTCCTTGCGACCTATTAGATCGCATAGATTAGGCCTCCTCCGAGTTCCATCTGCCAGTCAGTGTCGACTGGCAACCACACGGAGGAGAGCCTTTTCAGTAGTAGCTCCGACCCTTTGGAACGATCTCCCCGTGGAGATTCGTACCCTCACCACCGTCCAGACCTTCCGCACAGCCCTCAAGTCCTGGCTATCCCGTCAGGCCTGGGGATAAAGATCGTAATCTGTCCCCACCTGAATGATGAATGAATGTTGTGTACTATTTTTACTTATGTATTGTTTTATGTTTACTGTTTTGTACCCCCCTCCCTATATTTTGTAAGCCGCCCTGAGTCCCCTCAGGGAAAAGGGCGGCCTATAAATAATAATAAAACTAAAACTAAACTAAACTAAACTAAAGTCGGGAGACAGCCCTCTATTCTGATGCCTGAAAAGTCATTCAGGCATCAGAACTGAATGACTTTTCCTAGATGCCAAAATGTAGACAGGCATGGTGGAGGCAAGTATATCTCCTGGCAGGTGCCTAAAATTGTGACAGTTTCTTTATATAAATCATGGGCTTCTAGTGAGTATGTTTAAGTTCTACATGTTATTTGGCTTAAACATGGCTTAAAGAAACAGAACCCAATGGTGGAAAATATTTGTTAAATACCTTTTTTCTTTCAAATAGTACTGTAGAATAGAAGACAAAATCAAATGAGAATATTGAGTTAAATTTACATGACCAGATATAACACTGAATTTCCCATTTCCTTGTACCTGTTCCTTCTTCTTCAATTTCTGCATAAAGCACAATAGTATTGATGTATTCTTTTTGAGATAGTTTAATATCTGTTGTTTTAACAATAAAGGAAGCATATCCAGTTTTGTCTATCTGGGGATAAAAAGAAAAAAAATTATATGTGTTAAAAAGAAGTCTTTAGCTATTACATCAAAACAAGAGAGCTTTGTGTCACATGGTATCATTGTGGTGTGTTGTGGATGATGCTAATGAATGAATGGGATAACTATTGAAGTTATTTGATCTATACTTTGATCAGTGATTTTGGAATCTCCTTCTCTGCTTGAAAACTTATATTGCTGTTTTTTTCAAGATTCAGTGCCTCCCCTTTTCTCATTTATTTCTTATATATGTCAAAATGGATATATGTCAAATACAGTGATGATACTTCTACTCAAATCCAGGGAGATAATGTACATATAAAACAGATTCCATAATCTGGATGGCACTCAAGGACCATGGAAAGGACTTCTAGGAGCAGAATTTTAAAGATGGACAACTACCTAGATTTGGTCTATTATTTTAGGGATAATTCAATGCCATATCACACTATTTTTAAAACTTCTAAGCAGCTCCTTTAAGCAATGTTTTACAGCATGCCTAGATTTAAACAGCACTGGTTTGTAAAAACAGACCATGTCAAACCAATCTTACCAAATACCGGGAAAGATAGCAACAACAACAACAACGGAAGATGACAAAATACAAAGACCTACAAATAGAAATAGAACAACTATGGCAAAGGAAAGAAAGGGTAGTACCAATAGTAATAGGTGCCTGGGGTGCAGTCTCAAAACAACTGAAGCACCACTTGAACACTATAGACATTGACAATAACAGAAGGGGGATTTACTTGGAATTGCTTCCATCCTATGATGATATCTGTAGCACCATCAAACATCCAGATTTGCCTATCCCAGGTTCTTGGTAAGGTAGACAAAAATGCCAAACCCAGTCTGAACATTTGGCTGACTGTGTGATGATTAAAATAATAATAATAATGATAATGCCACTGGAACACCAAAGTGGAAAATTTGACTTGAAAATAAAATTAAAAAAACTATGCGGAGATGTCAGCAATTTGAAATACTTGAAAGAAGGAAAACTAAAGAATGAAAAGCTGAAAAATAGTTTTACAAAAAAAAAAAACCAACCTGGAAAAAAAACTATAATGGAAATCATGGAAGAATTAAAACAGCATGTAATAGCAACAGCAAAGAAAATCAAAGATACAAAGAATGAAGAAAACAATATCGTGAAAATGTCCAGTTCAGAAGAAACCAACACCTCTTCTACCGGTCACTTGATGAAAATTGAGTCCAAATTAATGTTCACCCATGTAAAGAAAAAACTTTGAAGATTTGGAAAGAACTGTGGGAAAACCCAATGGAACACAATAAAACTGCCTCCTGAATCAAAGATATTCAAAAACAAGCAACACAAAACAAAATGGAGAATATTGTAATAACAACTGATATGGTTGCAAAACAAGCACAGAAGGTTAAGAACTGAAGTGCACTGGCCTGGACCAACTGCCTGGATACTGGCTAAAACACTTGACCAGCATCCATCACCACATGGCCACTCAATTTGATGAAATGCTTCAAAATGCAACAAGTGAAGAATGGTTAACAGCTGGTCGAACATACTTGATAATGAAAGATTCAGAAAAGAGCACAGAAACAAGCAACTACTGCTCAATTACTTGTCTGACAACAACGTTCAAACTTTTTACAAGAATACTGGCAAATTCAGTATTCAACCATCTGATGGAAAACAGTTTGTATACAATAGAACCGAAAGGAAATTATAAAAAATCAAGAGCAACAACCATCTCGCATACCAACTTGATGAGGCTGTTTGAAGATGCACCCTACATGACACCTTAGGAAGTTGCAGATTGGACACTGGGTTGGGGAATTGTGGGGAGGGTGCTGGGTGAACGTTTGATATGTACATGTTCCCGCCTTTCTGGCTCAGATCTTGCTTT